ATCACAATACCTGCAGATTCCACCAATGTGCACCAATAAAATTGGAATAATGACCCAATTGAATGGTTAATATTTCTCGTGTTGTCATATTTCAAATTTATAATCTGTTCAGAGAAAAATTTTATATATATACCAGAAAGATAAGGTTATCTTGCACGCGTCTATGCGACTGTAGAGGTCTGTTTTTTATAGCTGAACTGGCTGCACTAGTTCAGAGTTTATCTTTTTCTCTCCATATTGAAAGGATACTGCATAGATTGTTCGAACGTTTCATAGTAGCGCGTTAAAAGAAAAGCTTATAATATTGTATAATAGTTATATTAATTATGATGAAATTTAAAATTAATTTTGAAAAATTTCCCGATTATTCGGTTCCAAGATTAACGATTGAATTAATGGGACATTTTAGTGTCGATGGTGATGCGAAATATCAAGCTGATTTATCGCAACTGAAATATTATATTCCTCCTCCGATTCTTGATAATGTGTGTTACGATCTGAAGAGAAATTCTGAATGTTCTACTCGTTTTAAACCTGATGCATGCGAAAGATTGGATTTTATATTCCAATGGATTACGGAAAATTTTAGTCGACTTGAAAAACCATTATCAATGCAAAAAGAGCGTTGGTAAGTTATTTAATAATTATTATTTAAGTATATAAAACTTGTATAATGATTGTTATGAGTGTTATTGAGTTATTGAGTGTTATGAGTATATTTCACATTGTATATATTAATTATGTATTAATTGTATTGCATTAATTGTATGATGTATTATATTTTACGACCATTAGATGACATTTTTATATAACAGTAAATATGTTTCAAAATTTACAGTTTCTTTTGATGATAGAGTTCTCTTACTAATTTGGATTTGTTTTTTTTTAATTTTTAATAAATTATTTAAATTTTTTTAAAAAGTAAAAAAAGGTTCAGTGAAACAAATAAATAAGTCATATTTTTCAGTCTATTTTTAATAGATTTGAATAAAATGTTAGTTTAAACTTTAAAAAGTATATAATATTAAGAATTGTAAAGCTACTATAAATAATGACCCACTTTGCAATTTTATTTGAGAAATTGAATCCTATTTTGTCAAGATGTTTTATGAAAGAAATATACTTGCAAATAGCAAAATTTTGGAACATTGCATATAATGATTATTTTTACATTAATTCTGATAAAAGTAATTCTGATTAGGTTGGATGTAGATTTTATTTGCCGTCGTGGGGTGTTAAAAAAATTATTATGTAGCCCATATGTAAGATATGAAGAAAATATGGAGGAAGAAGAAAAAGATAGGAAGAAATGGATCATTTGTGCTAGCAAATATCGCGGAACAATATATCTACGCAAGTTTTATACAGATGAACAAGAGAAAATTACAACGGGATACAAATTTGAACAGTATATGTTAGCAGGTATTTTACATTTTATATATATATAACCAATTTGTTTTTGCTTTAAACATAATAGAACATATTACTTATTTTATTTATAATTAATCTAACTTTAGAACAATACTAAAAAAGTATACTTTTTATTAGATGATCCCTCGCATGAACCAGATCCATCAGCACCTCTTAATATATGTGAGGAATTTCATTGCGTGTTTAAAGCAAAATTTGGAGATCATTCTTTACTATATGGGGCTGAAATAGATGGTATTCTTTCACAAGAGCCTATAAATGATACATTGATCGATAAAAATATAAAGCTTGTTGAATTGAAAACATGTCCAATGCATTATGAACGTGGAAGATTTTACCCGGATAAAGCAACAAACTGGTGGAGTCAAAATTATTTAGTAGGAATTGATAAAATTATATGTGGATTAAAAGATAAATCTAATACAGTAAGAATGATAAAAGAATATTCTACAAATTCGCTGATACCACGGTCCAAGGTAATAATTCTATCAATTCTAAAAAAGATTTCAAAATATGTCCAATGAGATGCTTCTTGATACATTAATTATAAATTATTTATTGTGTAGATTTGCTGTAACCAGAGAAAATGTGAAATGTTTTGCAAGATATTTTTAGACAATGTTAAAAGGATTGTCACTAAGGATTATAATGAATGTATATATAAATTTCACTGGAATCCACGTACTAAAGATATTGTAAATTATACTGAAGAAGCTCCTGATAATGAAAATTATATTTTCTTAAAGGAGTTTGTCAAGAAAGTAGAGGAGTGTAAAAATACTTATCAGTAAACGTGAAAATCCAAGAGATAATTGTTTTTTATGCTAAAAGATATAATAGTGTGAAAAGCTTACTAGATTTTATATATGATTACATAAACAAAAATATGATTTACAAAACCATGACAATTTTTATAAGGAAACAAATTATGTATTTTATTTTCAAGGAAATAAATATGATTTATTTTAATCTTGAGATATTTTAATAATGATAACTTTTCAGATTGCTAATACAGTAATGATTATTTTGCATTTTATACAATTTGTTAAAAAATTTCCATAGCATGAATATATATAGTACATATTGTATTTGTATTGTGTTTAAAATTAATATTTAATAAACCTTTGAAATAAACCTTTAGTTTATTAATACGAGCTAAATATGACAAAGTTAAACGGAGAAACGACGCTTCTTACGGTGTCATAGTACGCGATATCATTCCAGGATCTCCTATTTCGCAAAATCTCTTAAATATTCTAGAAGAAAACAGAAAGAAGTTAGCCGAAGTAAAATTATATGCAAGCATGAAGATACTAAGTACCTCAAGATTTCCTTGCGCGTAAAAAACGTGCAATCCTGATAATCTTCGAGTTGCTCTTCAGTGAAAGTTGCCACTTTATTTCCCATCGCACTCTTATTAATTTTAATATTCCTTTTTGAATTTTGATCTAGAATATTATTATATCTTTTATTAAGAAAATTTTACGTATTAAATTTTTTTTACAAAGAAATAGATGAGATATACATATATTCATATAAAAAATTAAATTAAATAGAATTATAAAACTTCAAATCGAATTAAAAGGAGCTGTATTACATTTACGAGAGAGCAATATGGACTAAAAAAATTTTTTAAGTTTTATTTTCTTTTCACCTTCTGCTCTTCCTTTCGTTCTCCTATGGTGATTGGTTTAAATAATGTAAAAAAAAAAATTTTTTTAGTTGAAAAACCAACAAGCGAGATAAGCGTTAAAAATTAGCGAAGCTATACCAACATAAATGAAGAGTATTTTTAAAAAGCTCTACTGTCGATAGCGGAATAAACTCTTTTTTGTACATTTGAAACTGACTATCTCAAAACCTATGGACCGTACTACAATCGCTTTCATCTCATTTGAAAGATAATTTAATTCTCTACAACAGCGCTCGGAAATAGTTGCACATTTCGAGCCGATTCAGCAGACGACGTTTCCTGTTCCCCCACTACCGCCCGGCCGCGGCGGTCGAGCCGTCGATAGCTCTGGCGCAGGAGCGTTTTATATAAGAAATAGGCTGAATTGTTTAGGCATCTTTCAGAAAAAGTAATATTTTCTTTGCTACATAAATAATGTTTATTTCATTAATAATTAAATATATATATTATGTATTAATGAAAATAAACATTATTTATGTAGTGAAGAAAATGTCACGATTTCCTAAGAGATGCCTAAATAATTCAGCCTATTTCTAATATAAAACGTTTCTAAGCCAGAGCTATCGGCGGCTCGGCCGCCAGCGGCCGGGTGGTAGTGGGAGAACAGAAGGCGTCGTCCTGAATCGGCTCGAAATGTGCAACTAATTCCGAGCGTTGCTCTACAACTTTTGTTTCGATATTATTTGTTAAAAAACGCATACTTTCCCTGATATTTGTAAAAATGTATAAAATAACCGTGATTTCAGAGGTTTTTGGGCGCTAACTTTTTAAGGAGCATTTTTCGACCTATGTTTAGGAAATATTTAGGAAATTTTTGATTCAGAATCAAATTTCTTATAAGATCTCAAACCTAACCTCGCCGGAACGTTCGCCACCACCCTCTATATGTATGTATGTACTTTCCTTAGCTCAGGGGAACTCCTCAAAAAGTCCGGGAAAATACCTGAACTTCCGGGAACTTAATACACTGCATGGACTGCATTAGCATCATTGCAACGTAGGATACTGCATAGATTATTCGAACGTTTCATAGTAGCGTGTTAAAAGAAAAGTTTATAATATTGTATAATAGTTATATTAATTACGATGGAATTTAAAATTGATTTTGAATGTTTTCGCGATTATTTGCCTCCAATATTAACGATTATATTAATGGGATATTTTAGTGTGGATGATGATGCGCAATATCACGCCGACTTATCGCAACTGAAATATTATATTCCTCCTCCGATTCTTGATAATGTGTGTTACGATCTGACCAAAAATTCTGAGTTTACTCGTTATAAACCTAATGAATGTGAAAGATTGAATTTTATACTCCAATGGATTACGGAAAATTTTAGTCGACTTGAAAAACCATTATCAAAGCAAAAAGAGCGTTGGTAAGTTATTTAATAATTATCATTTAAGTACATAAAACTTGTATAATGATTGCTATGAGTGTTATTATATTTTACATTGTATATATTAATTATGTATTAATTGTATTGCATTAATTGTATGATGTATTATACTTTACGACCATGTAGATGACATTTTTATATAATAGTAAATATGTTTCAAAATTTATAGTTTTTTTTGATGATAGGGTTCTCTTACTAATTTGGATTTGATTTTTTAAAAATTTTATTAAATTATTTAAATTTTTTTAAAAAGTAAAAAAAGGTTTAGTAAAACAAATAAATAAGTCATATTTTTCAGTCTATTTTTAATAGATTTGAATAAAATGTTAGTTTAAACTTTAAGAAGTATATAATATTAAAAATTGTAAAGCTACTATAAATAATGACCTACTTTACAATTTTCTTTGAGAAATTGATTCCTATTTTGTCAAAATGTCTTGTGAAAGAAATATACTTGTAAATTTTGGAACATTGTATATAATGATTATTTTTATATTAATTCTGATAAAAGTAATTCTGATTAGGTTGGATGTAGATTTTATTTGCCGTCGTGGGGTGTTACAAACATTATTATGTAGCCCATATAAAAGATATAAAGAAAATATGAAGGAAGAAGAAAAAGATAGGAAGAAATGGATCATTTGTGCTAGCAAATATCGCGGAACAATATATCTACGCAAATTTTATACAGATGAACTAGAGAAAATTACAACGGGATACAAATTTGAACAGTATATGTTAGCAGGTATTTTACATTTTTTATATATATATATATATATATATATATATATATATATATATACTATT